TACACATTTCGTTAGTTTTATTTTGACATTATACCTTACAGACCTTTTTGTCATGTGTAGTCGGCAGGTAAAGGTCAATGGGGCCGTGTTGCCCAAGCAGTGTGTTTTAGGATTTTAAATCGTGCAAGCAAGCACAAATCTTTTCATATCTCCAGCATATTTGTTTGGATGTAATGCATTAAGAAACTTAGTCATGGCTTCTTCAGTCTTCGATACACCCTACATTTTATTAGGTCAGCCAGCTTTCATCTGGATCAGGTGTCCAGACATATTATGATGTGCTTTCTTGATTATTCATTATATGTTATGTTTCATGTGTACAATGCCAGCTTTAAGATGTCAGATATATGTTCAGTGCCTTGAATGCGTTAATAATTTAAATATTAAGTAGAGACATGCCAAGATGAATGTTCTCATGTAGCTGAAAAAAACACTCCCAAATTTAGAGTCTAAACATATTCCACCAATGTAATGAAGGTCCATTTAAGGTCTGGATTATGAGTGTTTTGTTATGAATATATTTGGTTGTACTTATAAAAAGGAGTTTAATGTAACGCTAAAAACTTTTGAGGTGCCTTTTAATAGCTGCCATGCAGAAGCACTTTATGTAGAGTGTCATGTTTCGAGGGATATTTTTTACAAGCGTTCTCAGTTATGGCAATGATTAGTGCAGGCGTAAACTGTAGTGTGTGATGGCGGATGTCCAGTATGTTCAAAAGATATTTGGCAGTTTTACTAGTGTTGACATGATTTGTCAATGCATAAGGAAAACAATGTAGAACCTGTTTGAATGTATCCTGACCTTCGACAGGTCTATGTTGTGTTTTTGGCACTCTAGGAATGTAATGAGTATGAATGACTTGATTTTTTTTTTTTTTTTTTTTTTTTTCCCTCGTAAGGTCGTGACAGCAGGCTTAGTTTTGTGACACTTAATAGGAGCAGGCAAACACTCTTGATGGTCTCATGACCTCCACACTAAATAGCACTGTTTCACACTCATTCACTACCACTCATACATTTGGACACATCTACTGTTTATTTATTATTACTATTATTTTCCATATTTTAAATAATAGTATATTGATTATACACTACCGTTCAAAAGTTTGGGGTCAGAACGATGTTTTTGAAAGTCTCATCAAAGCTACATTTACAGTGAAAGCAGTAATATTGTGAAATGTTATTCAATTAAAAAGAACTGTTTTCTATATTTAAGTATTTTAAAAAGTTATTTATTTCTGTGATGGCAAAGCTGAATTTTCAGAATCATCCTTAGTGTCACATGATCCTTCAGAAATCATTTTAATATGCTGATTTGGTGCTCAAGAAACATTTATTATTTTCAGTGTTGTGAAAACCATGATAATTTTTTTCAGGATTCTTTATTAAAAGTAACAGCATTTATTTGAAATATATAACATAAATGTATTTACTGCCACTTTTTATCAATTAAACGTGTCCTCTGACTATATTTTATTTGGGGGGGGGGATTCACTGACCTCACACTATTGAATGGTAGTGTATATCAGAGGAAAGTAGCATTATTTCAACCAAACAGCTGTTGCCAAGTAGATTCAGAATACTCACACAAAATCTTTTTGTCCTATATTTTATCTTTTACCTACATTTATGTTTACAAATAGACTTTCATGAAGATTTTTTTGTGACGACTCGCTCGATTTTGAATTTATAATCAGTTCTTTGAAAATGATTCACAGAAATGAATCAAACTCACACACTTCCATTTTTGGTAGAATAAATCATATCTTTTCAATTTACGTCGTCTTTAGGAAAGTTAATGGCCAGATTTTCTCAGCCAACTTCATGAGGTGCATCCTGAGATTCTTTTTAAATAGTATTAAAAAAGTTAACACTTGCATTCAGTCAGATGTGTCCAAACAAACGTTTGACTGGTAGTGTCGGTACCAGTAATTACTCGTATTTTATTAAATCATTAGCTGCCCCAAAGATTTCCCAGCCAAAAAATATATTATATCATTTCCTCCCTCATTTGTTGGCTGTTATAAGTCGGTGAGTAGAATTTAATCCCATATAGGCAGGAATCTTTTAACCCTTTCCCCCTGCTCTCTTTCTGTCCTCTGTGCCGCCCGTACCACAGGTGTCAGTGCCTAGTATTGTGAGGATTTGAGCTGTGCTTCCGATGCCCCTGCCTGCCCTCGCTCTCCCCCTCTGCTTTACATGCCATCACCCCACGCCAAGCTCCGCCTGGATCCCGTGTTTGAACGCACGGATGCCTGAATGCACTTTTTCGGGGAATTTTTCAAGCTAACCACCCCCACCCCCCAAGCGAGTTTGTCTAGTTGGTTTGCGTTACATCACTTTGACTGCAGGAATTACGTTGACTGACTCATCCTTGTGAATTTTTTTACTCGCATTTTAACACTTCTGATGGAGTACATTGTTACCTCCCCACCCTTCTAAATCCATTGTGCAATCATTGGTGAAGACAAAACTCCCGGCAGGACGTGTCCTTTCCTTAATATCCCACTGTCCAAATCCACTTATTACCAAATGGATCCGGCTCTAATGTGAAAGAGCAAGTGTACCTAACAAACTCCAGAGTCGTTGTCTGGGGAGAGTGTTCATATTGTATATTTGATTTAAAATAAAGATTTAAAATAGAAATTAATTCTATTAACCCCCCCCCCCCCATTAGGGTTCTATGCGTATAGACAAAAGGTTTTAAAAGAGAAATAACGAGAATAGTAAACTGTACCTTGCGCTTTTAAAGGGGTTATTGGCCCGTGTACTAGGAGCCTCAGAGTTGAACTTCAGGGAGTAGTGTGTGTTTACATGTCACCTCTGCACACTTTGTGTTTCCATTAGTATTTTAAATTCACAGGAACGTTTCGGGTCCTCTGTATTCTCGCCACCTTTGTCCTGAACCCTCCATTCATGTGAATGTCAGAAGGTTCAGCATCTATAAAAGGCACAGAAAAAGGTTCTAAATGGATACAGGCAAATGTTTCTAGTTTTATTCTTCCCAACAAATGATCAGTTTTGTTTAGTTTTTTTAGTACCTTTTGGCTGAGGGCTGTTTGAATTTGGTTGCCATTACGTATAATTGTGGTGTTAATATCATACCTGCCACCGATATAGATTACACGTTTTATTTTTTATTCTATCCTAGTTTTAAACTTGTCCTACTGACTGAATTTAGGGGATATGTAAGTAATACTGATATATGAGAAATACTAGAATGGAATGGAATGCAAACTTATTTTCTAAATAATAGAGGTTCAAACCTCTGGTCAAACACTGTGCCATCCCACAGCTGCCAAGCCCGGTCACTACTGCATTCTCCTGTTGACAGGCTATGAAAGAGTGATGGTTATTTCAGTTCTGATGGACCTGAACACTCCTATCGCCAACACTACAAAGAAATGAAACAGGGAGCGATAGAGAGGGGCTGGTCTACGGGGAAGGGCTACATTTCTTGTAAAGAACATCAGTATTCGATTGCTGTGGTCGAAATGGCATACTGACGTACTCCATACTGAAATAATTTTTAAAAGTAGTATGTTAGTATGCTGTTTTCACACGCACCCATTGTCCTCTGACTCAGCATCACCACTATAACTCATATGTAACCTGTATCAAAATGTATAGATCGTGTATCATGTTATTGAATGTCTAAAAAGAGTATACAAAAGTTTAAATGTACAGAATAAATGGCTTGAAATTGTATTAAAGTATTCATGAATCAGAGAAGACAAAAGTCTAGGGATAAATGAACTATTTTTTTCTGTTCTGTAATTACTGTTGTGTTGATGGAGGAACACTGGTCAGTGTAATAAATATAAATTTAGTACATTATGGCTGACTTTTTATTCATAGATGGTTTGATGGTTGCATTGAAGCTTTTTATGTGTCAGCTGGGGCAGAGATCTGATTTCAAATGGAGATTTTCTTTGCAATATTGAAAATTAGGTCCCACTTTATATTAAGTGGCTTTAAGTACTATGTACTTACATTGAACAATAAGTACAATGTATTATTGTGTTCCTGTTGTATTGTAAAACACGTTTGCTGCTATTGAGGTGTGATACGGGTAAGGTTAGGTAGGTTAGGTAGGTAGGTTAAGGTGTGAGGGGAGGGTCAACTGTGTAATTACAAATGTAATTACATAAATTTTTTATAGCTGTAATTACATGCTGGAATTTTAAAATGTAAGTACAATGTAAAAACATGTATGTACACAATAAGTCCATTGTATCAAATTATTAATTTCAATGTAATTACATAGTACTTAAAGCCACTTAATATAACAGCTTGATGTTTTCCTTAAGTTGCACACACTACATTTCTAATGTCAGTTCACTTTTGTCGTCTTGTTAGATCAAATGGCAACAATCGTTTATTCTTGGCCACCAGAACATTTTATTTAAGTTGAATACGTTTTTTTTTTTTTTCCAACCTAAATAATCTTTTTCAGTCTAATAATTTTCCCAGTCTCCTTTATTTAGGTAATGTTGTTCTCAAAATAGTATGCTTGCTTTTCACTTTTGTTTCACAGACAGTTTAATCCCACCAATAAAATGGACAAAATTTACTAATTGAGTTTGAAGTCTAAAAAAAAATGTTAAAAAAAACCCCAAAACATTTTACTAAAATAAAAATACTTAAATTCATGGAAAGATTTTACATGGATGTGTATATGGCTGTTTAATGCCATTTCAGATGCAGTTTAGCAAGCTCAATGGATTTAGTAAGGTTCAATTTTTCATGTATTAGACATATGTCAGAGACAGATTGAGGGAAATGCAGAGGCCTATTTTGAATTTAAAGCTGATTTAGTCATTATATTCATTATATTATATTATCTTCATTAATTATTATTGATAAACAACATATCTTCCAAGTTGCAACATTATTTACTAATACTTCCTAGTTGGTATGATGCCCAGGAGTCCGAAAGGACGGACACGAATTTTGAACCATGTGAGCCACCGTAGTCAAAATATGTGTGTGTATCCCTGAAGACTCATGATCACTTCTCATGTTGTTATGTGTATACATGTTACGTGATCTTAGGGTGTACTGACAAACAATTATAAACAGAAGACATGTACGTGCGTGGAAGGTTTAACGTTAGATGTTACAGCTCGCGATAATCCGATCCGTATGTCAACTTTTAACTTTTCAAAAGAGAAACTTCACATCTTTATAGAAACCCAAGACTAAACACTTGGTTTCAAAACATCTCTGACTGTTCTGGTCTGCTTTATTACGAATCACGATGGCTTTCTTAGTAGTCGAACGAGTCCATAGCTTGTTTGTTTCGTGTTTCTTTAAGTAACAACTTTCCAACAGAGAACCTGTGTTTTATCCTCGAGCTCAGCATGGATCACCACCAGACGCTTTTAAACACAGTCATCGCGTTTAACAAAGTCCTACAGTGTGTTGTTGTTATGTGGCAGAGATACCGTAAACCTTACCGTATTGAATGTATTTAACTGACTCAGATGAAGTCATGAGCCGTCGAGTGATTCTCCTGTCTGGATTCATTTGTCTCTGTGTGACACAGTGTTGCCCCTCAAGACTGACACACTGTGACAATGGCAAGGTATTTGCTCAATTCACTCTACACTATTATTAAATGTTAACCAACCATAGTAATCAATTGACATGTCAAGCAGTGACAGCCGCATTCCTGCTTGTTGACTTCTAAAATTATGTTTGGCTCGATATGTAGTAGATTTCTTTTTCTTATTACAATTATTTCAGACAAATCTAGTCACAGACCTACCGGGACCTGAAGAGCTTGTGTGTCGAGAGCTCTGGCCACAGTCACATACGGTAAAATATCTATTTATTATACAGTGCAAAACTAAACTACTCAGTACCAAATGCACAGTGTTGATAAAAACTAGTGATGCACCGATATGAACATTTTGGCCGATATCGATAATTCTTTATATTTGAAAGCCAGTTACTGATATATTGGCCGATAAATCTAAATCCATATGTCTTATATACTTTTTGAGAGCCTGATTACTTACAAAAACAAAAGTCTCGCTATTAAAAGCACACAATTATAACGTTCTCATAATTTTATGTAGCCTATATGACAGACTTGTGCTGCATATTGCACTTTACTGTATTTATCATATTTCAAGCAATTCAAAACCATCACGGTGAACAATGTGCATCTGAAGTGTCTCAGCTGAAGGAACTTGAAAATAACCCATTATTTATCAACTTTAATATATCGGCCAAATTGTCTTATCGAGCTAATAACAACAACATTAAAAATTTACATATTGGCCTATTTTCTGATACCAATATGGTGGCCTATATACCCTAATAGTGCCCTAATAAAAACATGACTGACGGATATTCCTTTTTGTTATTTCAGATTATCCCTGACATTGACACAAAACATATTATAAAGGTAAATGAATCTCAATTGGGACATGTTGACAACATTGTTCACTCTGAAGAATGGCATTGTGCACTTTAATGTTATGACCAATTCAACTCTGTATTATACATTTAAAATAGCAGGATGCTATGTTTGTGTATATCGTACACAGTACGATAGTTTAATAAAAGTATGTACCTTGTAAATTTGCCTTTTGTCTCGCACAGGCTGCTGATTCCATCTGTATGGACACACCCATTACATACAATGACAGCATTCCCACCCAGTAAGCTATGACACACTGATCCTGTCTTTTCTTATCTGTTTTTACTTCGAATATAGGGATTGTAAATAATTTAATCCAGTTTTAGTTTTAAATCTTTCATTTACTCACCCTCAATTTGCTCTAAAGCTGTATGAATTTCTTTTTTTCTGCTAAACACAAAAGATATTTTGAAGAATATGGGTAACCAAACAGTTGTTAGACCCCATTGACTTCTATAGTATTTTTCTCCGTACTATTGAAATCAATGGGGCCCATCAACTTTTTTTACTCAAAATTTAAAGAACGAGTCATTACATCATAAATCGTTCTTTCAAAACGTGTTTTTGTCCTGTACCCTGATTCACTATGGTAAGCCGTTAACATATACGAATTTCATTTGATTAGAATTCCCAACCCTATTCGGATGTGTATAAATTTTCCAACCTTATTTTAAATGTGTAGTTGTGCGATATCTGTTTAAATTGTTGTGTTTGTAATACTGTAACCGTGTAATTATAGTATTGGTTGCATGTAATTATGCAATTATTTAATGTATATTAAAAATCCCAGGATGTCCTTCGAAAAAGAGTTTGGGTGTAACTCTGGAATCCTGGCCAAATTTGCCCACTGGCCTCATAATCATTCATACTCATTGGCTTCATCACTCTGTCTCCTCTCCACCAGTAAGCTGGTGTGTGGTGGGCGTTCTGGCGCAATATGGCTGCCGTCACATAATCCAGATGGATGCTGCACATTAGTGGTGGTTGAGGAGATTCCCCCCTTCTATGGGAAGCGCTTTGAGTACCCAGAAAAGTGCTGTATAAATGTAATGAATTATTGATTGTAATTTAAAGTTATTACTACAGTAACTACACGTGTAACAAGGACACTGTAAAATAAAGTGTTTCTGTTGTGTTTTTTAAATAAGTTGTTTTGTTTTGTTTTTTCAGTGGTCCTTACCGGCCTGTTGAGGCCGGGAGTGGAGAGTATCTCTACTGCCCCCCTCAGCGCTGGCTAAACAACCTCAAAGTAATCACAATATTCATACTATTGCTAAACAATCACACTATTCATACTGTAAATCTAAACCTAAAGCTATTTTTATAAATGTGCTCTGAAAGTGTTGTTTCTGACAGAATGGAGCGCTGGTGTTCCTCTATCACCCGTGTGTCTCAGCGGAAGCTCACAGGAGTCTGGGGGTGTTGGCTCATTCGTGTCTGCCTCATTACATCCTCACACCTCACCCGTGGCTCAGCCAACACAGAGTGAGTCAACATTCACAACAGTCGCTCACAGTAGACACAGGTGTGCACTGGATGGTTGTCTGTGACTGATGTCAAACAAATGTAGATTACAGTATCAGAATTATTAAGTTACATTTTACAATCAATTTTAATCAACATTAATGCATTATGTGTAATTTAAGTCTCTCATGCTCACCAAGGCTGTATTTATTTAATCAAAACTACAGTAAAAACAATAACATTGTGAATTATTATTTAAATGTAAAATTTAAACTATTTTCTATTTTAAAATGTCATTTATTCATGTGGTGGCCAAGCTGAATTTTCATCATCATTACTCCAGTCTTCAGTGTCACATGATCCTGCTGATTTGGTGCTCAAGAAACAAAAGTTCTGCTTAATATTTGCTGCTTAATATTTTTGTGGAAACATCTTTGATGAATAGAAAGTTCAAAAGAAGTGATTATTTTAAATAGAATTTTACAAATTAGCATTTATTTCTTTTAAAAAATCTTACTGACCCCAAACTTTTGGGTCAAGATCCATTAGTTCACAATAGCTAATGCATTAACTGGTGGTAACAAACTGAACCTTACTATAAAATTTTGACCATTTATTTTATGCATTTAAAAAGCCCCATTTCTGACAAATATCTCATGTCTGTTATCTCTCTCTAAGCCTTTAGCTATGGTCTCGTGGGGTCGTTCACTAGAGATGTCCCGCATCACAATTGGGGTTTGTGATTGGCTGCTTTCCATTTCCGCCAATATTAGTCAAGCTAGTACAAGCCAAAGAGCAAAGTACAATCTGTATTTGACTAAACCAACACCTGTGCACAAACCAGTGAACACCAGTCAAGAGATGTCCAAAGTGGAGAGATTAAAGGTGAAGAAATTGCCTCACATTGACCAACATATTGGTCAAGATTTGTATGATGATGCAGCCGTTTTATGTAAATAGAAATGCTAATGTTAACCTTCTATGCTCGTCTTCTCCTTTAATTGCTAGTCTCTTAAACACTGCTGCATGGAGGCTCTCAGTCTCACTGAGGTACAGAGGACTAGAAGGAAAACCAGAAAAATCAGAAATGTCCTCAAACAATCACCAGAGAATGTGGAACTGAAATATGACGTCAAACCAGACACTCTTAACCGCACAGAGAGTCCAAAACTGAATCGTACAGACGCACTGCCACAAAACAACACAAAGGAAATGGCTTCCTTCTCAATGCTAACTGTTACACAATCTCTCGGTTCAGCAAAGGACTCTGAGAAGACAAAGACAATTGATGCAGAGAAGCAAATTTTACAGAATAAAGTGACTGAAAGACACAAATATCAAATAGACAGAAAAACGCACAGGAAAACTATAGCGGAAGGTACGAGGCATCGCATCAAGACTGACACAAAGGCGCAGAGATCTGGATCTGAGTGCGGGGAGCTTGGACAGTGTGGAGTCCCAGACTCTGTGTCTCCTCATATAGAAGGTCCGCTGAGGAGGGAGAAGATACCCATCCCACGAACCGATGAGGCCGTGTGGGCAGCAGGCGCTCTGGGCTTCCTCTTAGTGCTTCTCACCCTGTCTGTGCTCCATACACGTCTCTATCGCCACTGCCGATCTTCCACCAGTCTCTACTGGCGCGACAACCAGCAAGACTATGAGAACGTGGGTGGTGAGTACACACTCTTTCGGATTCTTCATGTTGCGTAAACCATTTATTCTGTCCCTTTCCCGTGGATGTTGCCTCAACAGAGGTGTTGTTTGTGTTCCAGACATCATCCGCCGAAGGCTTAGGATGGTTGGCCGGAGGAAGAGGAGAAGCAGCCAGAGCAGGAGACAGGAATCTGCGCTGTTGCACTCCAGCAATGAGGAGAACTCTGACTAGCTGAGAGGATTGGTGAACACACACGCTATTTGACTTTTGTCCCGTGCAGGCTGCTGATTCCATCTGGATGGACACACCCAGTACTTACAATGACCGTATTCCCACCCAGTAAGCTATGACTCACTCTCAGATCCTGTACTTGTCGTATCTGGAATATCTGCCCAATCATGTGGCACTCATTGAGTAAATATACATTTTCTTATGTTCATAACTCAGTTTTGACGCTGAAGAGAACTTGTCCGTTCACACATTCAAAATTACACAAGACAATTTCTCTCTGGTATTTCATATAGGGATACAATTAAGTGATAAAAGTTTATCACTTAATCTCTACAGTAATTTTACTATCATTCGATATACAGTAGAAATACCTTTTACATTAGCTGAACGTCTGATGCATTTGGCCCACAACTGGAAACACGGATGGGTTGAATTCTACAGGATGTGCGTTAGACGCATGTCGAGTTCTTTAACAGTCCGCTTGGAAAAAAGATGACATGACGCTTGAGCCTCCTCAAGGAAAATACTTTTTTGTGAAAACAACTGTCACAATGAGCACTTATCAGGATCAACTAAATGCTGGATTTTCTAAAGCATTTTAAGTATGTAAAGTTTTTGGAATAAACTCTTTAAAATACATGAGTTTTGCACAGTGGACTGTTAGTGTAGGGACATTTTCACGCCCCTAAATATGTCACGGAATAATACAAACTGTGATTAGTTGCTTTACATGTCAGTCAGACGGCCTCTGGGCGGTCTTTGGCCAATGTAAGCTGCAATGGAGTCTAGACTTTCTGCCATCAGTCTGATGATCTGGCTATGCAAGACTAGGTTCCTAGGTCTCCAGAGAGAAGTGTATGACGTTTTGCCACGAAGGTCTAGTTATGACATTCTGATTATACATTATGAGGTCTAAAAAAGAAAAAAATTGAAAAGCATGCAGGGATGAACTGTTCACAATGCAATCTTTAACATGCGTTCAGAAATGTTTCATTTCATGACAACTTTAAAATAATATGGAATGTTTTTGTTACATTAAAGCATATTATTCCTGCTAGAATATTGCACTTTTAGCATTTTTCCTAATGGGAGGTTTCTGAAATGCTGTCATCGTTTACTCACACTCATGTTGTTCCAAAACTGTAAGACTTTCTTTTTTTTCTGTGGAACACAAAGAACACATTTTAAAGAACGTTGAGTAGAGACCTCTCTGGTTCCTCTGGGACTCTTTAGTGAATACTGCGCTGCACTAAAGTTGAGCAGATGGAGTGTTAAACATACTAATTGTATTGGTCAGAAAGCAAAATTGTGAAGGAGTACCAGTCATAGCAATTTTGTCAGTGACCTAATTTTGTGTTTTGCCAAGTTTGCTGCTTCATTTGTTGTGGTGTTTATTAACATTGTTTCTGGATTACTGTGTAGAGTAATCAGTGAGGTGAATAATTGTAAAAAGCCTCACTGGCCAATACAATAACAGACATATTTCACAGTGTTTTGGCTCTGGCACAAAATGACCAGCCAACATTGCTGATTGCTAAGAACCAGCTGACCATCGTCGCTTTGCATTAAAATGGCCCCACGAGCAGGGAAATTGCTGAAAAGAATATTGCACATGAAAGAACCATTTGCCATTAGGTCAGCAATGAAGTCACTGCTGTCTAAGAAAAGCATCAAGGACAGACTGAAGTTCTGCAGGAAGTACAATGATTGGTCAGCAGGTATTTATTAATTTTTCATAATGAATCACATTATTCCATAGTCCAATGATTTCTCACTGAAGGATAAAGGCATTGTCCAGGCCATCATGTGGATATAGTCTTGCAAAACCTTGCTCTGTCACAGTTTCTGGTTTATGTTCCCTGGTGTCCACTAGAGGTCCTCTTTCCCCACGCTGTCATTCATTTTTGGAACTGTATTCCCCACAATCCTTGTCTGCGCTCATCACTGTTCATTGTACTCAGCTGTTCCCCATCATGATTGTCATATTCTGTGTGTAAATACCCTGCCTGTTTACTGTTTGTTACAGAGTACTTGTTGTTCGTCACACCTCATTGAAGTCTTGCTTGTTTTTGGTTTGTGCTATCATGGATTGCTTATATGAATTTTGACCCTTGCCTGAACTGTTGTGAGTACGGAATTTCCTAATAAATATTACTGCTATTTGAACTTCCCTGTTTGTGTGTGTGTGTATTGTGACAGAAGGACTATGTCATGAATAGTTACAGCAGACAGTATGGGGTTCCGGGCCTCTTCCCCTGCCACGAGGGGAGGAGGTCGCAATCTGGAGAAGTGCCGCCTCGAATGAACATTTTCGAATGTTTTGCACTGTGGGTTCGCATCACTGAGGAGAGCGTGGCAGGAAAGTCCCCCGAGACCCCTTCCTTCAAGAGAGGACAATCGTTTGAGGGAACCCGTCTGGCCAGGTTTTCGAAGACCTGTGGCGGTCGCAGAAGAGGAGGTGCCAGAGTTGAGCTCCCGAACCACTGTCCGCTTCAGTCAGTCCTCGACCCTGGGCTGGCGATGTCCAGTCCAGAACTCCATCCACCGTTGATCTCGTCCAGCACAGAATCGGCACATCGCCATCAGAGACGGCGGAGGAGGGGGAAGACCTCCAGCCTCCCCAAGTGCCCGGAGGCCGTGCCCCAGCAGCCCGCCGTTCTTCCGGGAGCCGATCCAGACACTGCTCACGTCCCGTCTGCCCAGCCAGAGACAGTTCACATCACGTTTACCCAGCCAGACAGTTCACATCACGTTTACCCAGCCAGAGACAGTTCACGTCCCGTCTGCCCAGTCAGAGACAGTTCACATCACGTTTACCCAGCCAGAGGCGCTTCACGTCGCGTCTCCCTAGTCAGAGTCAGTTCACGTCACGTCTGCCCAGCCAGAGACAGTTCACATCACGTTTACCCAGCCAGAGTCAGTTCACGTCACGTCTGCCTAGTCAGAGACTGATCTTGTCATGTCTCCCCAGCCAGACAGTTCACGCCACTTTTGCCCAGCCAGAGACGGTTCACGCCATGTTTGCCCAGCCAGAGATGGTTCACGTCACGTTTGCCCAGCCAGAGACGGTTCACGTCACGTTTGCCCAGCCAGAGATGGTTCACGTCACGTTTGCCCAGCCAGAGACGGTTCACGTCACGTTTGCCCAGCCAGAGATGGTTCACGTCACGTTTGCCCAGCCAGAGACGGTTCACGTCACGTTTGCCAAGCCAGCGACTGTTTACGTGACACATCACGTCTCCCCCAGTCAGAGACGGTTCACGTCATGTTTGCCCAGCCAGAGACTGTTCATGTCTCGTCTGCCCAGCCAGAAAGACGGATCAGGAGATGCTCGATTCTCTAGGTCTCGGGGCACTGACCGACTATTTGGAGCGTCTGGCTCGGATTCTGGAGAGACCCTTCAGACCTTTCGTGTCCGGGGTTCCAGAGCCGGAGCCAGTGTGTGTTCCTGTTGCTGTTCCTGAGCCGGTGTCTGTTCCTGTTCCTGGCCGCCCGAGGGGTCTTCACAGCCCTGGCCACCCGATGGGTCGATGTCTCCGCCCTGGCCGCCCGATGGACTGTCTGCTTCGCCCTGGTCGCCGGCTAAACCGTCAGCCCCTGTTCCTGTTCCCCTTCATGCACCTGGCCCCCCATCCCTCCATTTCCACCATTCTACCTCCCTCCTAAACTCTTGTGTTGTGTTTTAGTATGTCTTGGAGCGTCTGGTAGCTGCTCTGTAGAGAGGGGGGTTATGTCACAGTGTCTGGTTTATGTTCCCTGGTGTCTACTAGAGGTCGTCTTTCCCCACGGCGTCATTCACTTTTCATGATTGTCATGTTTTGTGTGTATAAATACCATGCCTGTTTATTGTTTGTTACAGATTCCTTGTTCGTCACACCTCATCGAAGTCTTGCTTGTTCTTGGTTTGTGCTATCGTGGATTGCTTATCTGGATTTTGACCCTTGCCTAAACTGTTGTGAGTACGGATTCCCCTAATAAATATTACTGCTAATGGAACTTACCTGTTTGTGTGTGTGCGTATCCTGACATGCTCATCCAGTCACTGTGAGGAAAAGAACGATCTATTAAAAACAGAAAAAGCTCCAAAATAACATTGCCAATACATTATCCTATGATGACAAATGTTGTTGCCTTAAATTGGTCGTATGTGAAAGAGATATCTTGAGTGATATTCATCACATTCATTTGAAAATAATCATGTACTAATCGTATGTTCTCACCCCTTGTTTGTTGGATCTTCTAGCAGGTCTTATGAGGCCTAAAACAATTTCTGACTTCAAAAGATCTAACCGAATGATTGCCTCAATGATAACCAGGATCGTCTTTTGCAAGTTTGAGTGGTTGTGAGTTGTGCAATGGAAGTCCTTTGAAAGCAAAATAAGGAATGCAACGCAATCTGTGGATTACTGGCTCACTGCTATGTATTGTGAAACCATTGCAGAAAACAAGACGCCACAGAGACATATGAGACGAGCTGTTGATGGTATATACTGTATGTTTTGGCTATTTCTTTCTTGCTTTAAGGCACCCTGGCAGGGCTCTTGGCAGGCATGTGAGGCTAGGTGTGTCTAGGGAAGGGAAACGCTGTTGCATGTTTCAGGATGTAACTTTCTTTGTCCCTTTTTTGGCTGTATGTTTTGATAAACATGAGAAAGAACAATGTTTTCTACCCTTTTAGACAGCCCCTGGGTTGTCTGAAGTCCGCATACATTGTGCTCTACATGCTACAAATTGAGCCCAGTTGTTCAAAGAATTTTATTTTATTTATTCTTCTCACCGCACACAATTTTACAATTAGCCACTTTAGCATTGTATGGCAGAAAGGCAGTAAGCCCACAATTACAATCTGCTACAAACATTCTTTGACATTTCTTGGACTGTAACTTAAAATTACATGCTTCTTTAAATACTGTCCTCCTACTCATTCAGGCTACCCATTTTAGCACAAAAGCATTTATAGTGGGTTTTATGCAATGGCTGCTTTACAAGAATCCAACACTGAAGAATGACTTGAGACATCTCAAGTACATAGAAATGGAACAGAAAATGGAATGATAAAGACCTCAAAACTATGGAAGCATTACTAATACTTGGTTAATTAAGTGTAATAAATAATGTATGGTTGGCTGCTTCTTATGGCAAAAGTTTATTTTGCCATAATACCTGGCTGAACATTATTCTGCTTATTATGCATACTCGCCAAAAAAAAGGTATATACAAACTTACAATAACATTAATATTAACGTCTTAACAATGCAGTCATTTTCACTAGTTGATAACATAGACCCCAAAATTTGTGATAGTTGTGTTTTTATGAAATGAGTGAGTGAATTCATGGTGAAATACAATGAAAGTATCACCTGTGGATGAGCAGTTTGATGGAGTGCAATTGTCAGGATCGCATTTATTTTACATTTATTAACTATAACTTATAAACCTTCAAAGACATGGCTACTATGAATTGAATACTGAATACTATGACTCTCTGATTGGTCTCAAAACTATGAAAGCATTTAAATTCAAGTAAAGAAAACAAAACACAAAAATATTTACACAATTAGACTTCTGCCAGATTCTCAAGGAAAGGAAATAACTCCACATCATGAATAGGCTAAATGGTCCAGATCACCAGATATACAACATGTAACACTCCAGTGTACAAAACATCGTTGATATTAGGGTTATTTATGGGGGAGGAAAAAAACATTTTCCAGATGTTTTTATATTTATTTATTCTATTCTCGCCAACAAACAGCAGATGATGGAGATACATTTCATTGGCCATGAAATACTGCAGGATAATGGATATCACTCAGACAATCCCATGTGAAATCTAGGAATTGTTTTTTTGTTTTAGGTAAATGCCTCCTTTGATGTCTATAATTTGACACGTCCCTCTTACAAAGGATCCCTCTTTTCTTGACCAGAGCAAACCACTCCCTAAGCTTGAGGTTTTACTGGTTTTGGCGTTGTTTGAGTCACGTTAAAAAGGGTTCACATCAGCTAAGACTTTCAATGTCTCCTTGGACTGGCCATATTCAGAAGCTTCTGTGGTCTGTAGAGGGGAGATGCATGTTTTGCTCTGTCTAGTTTGTGCCTTTGGCATTTTTGGTCAGTATCATCCAGTACCTTTACCACTTGAAGATGATGGATCGGTACCTGCTCAGAATGACCTGTCCCTGGCAACAGTAAGTCCTGCATTTGTACCTTTTAAATTCAACTGGGTTAGTACTGTAACCCATGTTTATTTGTTTGTTCTCAAGGGAAAATCCACAATTCTATGAGAGATTTTCTGTCATCGTCCATTCTCTCTGTCAAGTATTTCATTAGTAACTGGTGTGTTTTATTCAATCAATCTATTCATGCATACATGAGCTAAAATACAATTTTATTTGTTTTTGTCTAATGTGAATGTTTGCAATTGAACATGTCAAAGAACACTTTGGTGTAAAACAATGAAAATATACAAATGCAACAGATTTTTTCCTATCCTAAAATCATAAGTTAAAAATGAAGCTTATGAAGTGGGTTAAACACAATAACGGAGGGGGAAAAGACAATAGTTGATACTTCCTATGGTGGTTCCTGCACGTTTTCCCAGTAGCACCTCATTGCAGTACGCGAGATCCAGGGGGCAGAGTTGGGTAGGATTAGGGGTGGGGATAGGGACCAGGGGGCGGAGATGGGTAGGATTAGGAGTGAGGTTAGGGATCAGGGGGCGGAGATGGGCAGGTTTAGGTATATGTAAGGATCTGAATCCAACTCCTCCCCCTGGATTTTGTGTTCTGCAGTGAGGACCATCTCTGTTTTCTTGCAGAAATACCTGCAGCACTTCTACAGTTTCCAAGCGGACCCTGCAGGCCGCAGGAGGAGGAGTCGTCCCTCTTTCTCGTCCAAATTGAAGGATATGCAGAGCTTTTTTGAGCTGAATAGGACAGGAACCCTGAACCCAGAAACCCTCGCTGTCATGAGGACTCCTCGATGTGGTGTCTCAGATGTGGAGGATTACAGTCACAGACGTGGAAGCAGGTGGAAGAAAAACATCATCACTTATGGGTAAAAAACATTTAACTTATGTATGTTACATAAAATGCTCTTCATTTTGATTATATATACATATATGGTGATGTAAACAGCACAATCTTACAGTGTTGGGAGGTACACCAGTGACTTGCCAGTGAATACAGTGGACGCTCTTATCGCGTCGGCTGTGGATGCATGGGCAAAGGCCAGCCCTCTCACTTTCCTGAGGTCATATTCTCACCAGGCGGACATCATGGTGGATTTTGTTGGAAACGGTAAGTTAGCATATATGCACATTTACTCTTGAAGACAACGTTTTTCATCTGCCATTTCATTTATTTTGTAATCAATATCTAGAACATGGCGACTCCTTTCCATTTGATGGTCCAGACGGCACGCTGGCCCATGCTTTTGGCCCAGGGGAAGGGATCGGTGGGGACGTTCATTTTGATGAAGCTGAAACATGGACAGCTGGGTTCAAAAGTAATGTATTTACTTTCTTTTATTTTAATTTAATTTGTATTATTTGTATAGACATATTTAAATAATATAGGGCTTGGTATTAAAAAGAAAACAGTTAACTTGTTTTCTCTCTTTTTTTTCGTTCAGGATTTAACCTGTATGTGGTAGCTGCACACGAGTTTGGTCATGCACTTGGTTTGAAACATTCGCAAAACCCAGAATCTGTGATGTATCCGACATATAAACATAGTAAAACACAAAATCTGCTCTCCAGTGAAGATATCATAAACATCAACGCACTCTATGGTAAAAATAAATCATGTTTCAAAGTCTATGACTATGAAATTGTAATATTGTGGGAACAGAGGCGATGTTCAGTTTCTACATTTATATGAGAGATCACATGTCTGTGTTTTTTTTTTTTTTTTCCTCCAACAGGGCCAAGGGACAAAAGGCCCATTCCATCTTCAAGATTTAGCTGGGGCTATCCCAGCAACCCCTGGTTCAGCGGTTCGTATTTCCCTGTGTCATTCAAGGACAAATGTAATCCCGATCTGACTTTTGATGCTGTGACTACTGTAGGAGAGGCTATTTTCTTCTTCAGGGACAAGTATGTTGATCACATAGTGTTGGCTACCACATAAAATCCATTTTGTTAAAAAAAGAGAGAGAGAATGAAAATGAGCTTATGAAGTATATTAATCTTCTGTTTGTTTGACTTTTGTTTCGCAATTTCAACTTCATCTTCAACATTAGCAACTTTATATCTCACAGTTTGTATCTCAAAGTTCTTCTTGTTTTTGGGACTTTATTTCTTATTTCTATTTATATTTCACAATTACAACTTTATCTCATATTTTTTTTCTATATTTCTCTTGTGAAGATCAAGTTTTCTTTACAATTCAGACTATATCTCACAATTATGACTCTATTTCTCACAGTTGCAAATTTATTTCTTATAATTACAACTTTATATCTCACAGTTGTGTTTTTCTTGTAGTTGTATCTCTTTCCTATTGCAACTTTCTCACAATTACAAGTGTTTTTTACAACTGTAACTTTATTTCACTATTACGACTTTATTTCTCGCAATTGTGTTTTTATATCTCATAATTGTGTTTATATTTCTAACAATTGCAAATATTTACCATTGTGACTTTATATTTCACAATTGTGTTTTTATATCTCATAATTGTGTCTACATTTCTCACAATTGCAAATATTTACCATTGTGACTTTATATTTCACAATTATGACTATTTAAATTACTTTTAAACTGCTCACAATTTAAAAAAAAAATTAATAGAAACAAGCGTCCATGGTGCCATAATATTACAGTGTGTCAAATATATCTACCAAACTTCTCAGTAGCACCTCATTGCAGTACACGAGATCCAGGGGCCCAACGCATTCTCACCCCAAGGCGTCACCTTTGACCATGCTTCAATATTTGACGTTTTAGGAGCCCTTTAGCGTCACTTACATGACGCGATCCTACGGCGTCATCTAACTGAGCTAAACAAAGCGTCAGTTAGAGGACGCGGTTAGGTTTAGGTGTGGGGTGTAGGGTACACGCGATATCATCTAACTGACGCTAAAGGGCGCCTAAAGCGTCAGATATTGAAGCATGTCCAAATGCTTCCCAAGGCGTCAGTTAGGTGACGCCTTGGGAGTGAGAATGGGCTGAGGGGCCGGAGTTGGATCCAGATCTGAGGGGTGGAGTTGGGTAGGCTTAGGGGTGGGTTTAGGGATCAGGATCCGACTCCTCCCCGTGGATTTCATGTTCTGCAGTGAGGACCATGGATTTATATATAAGCTATCACATACATAGTTTTTATTACATAGGATTATTAAATTACATATAACTCTTTTTATCCTTTTAGGTACTTGTGGATCAAGCACAACAATCAAAATGATATAAAGGAAGGCCCCATCAGCAATTTTATGCCAAAAATTGATTGTCAGATTGACGCTGCTTATTGGGTCCCACAGCGGTCAACAGCATATCTGTTCAACGGTACAGACATGGTTTTACATTGTGCATCTCTGTATTGCCTTCAAGATTTAAAACAACATTAATTCTCAGTGCTACTTCAACACAGGTACGATTTTCTGGACAGTGAAAGGATCCCAAGTAAAAGGCAGAGCGAAAAACATCAGCAGTCTGGGGTTCCCGTCATGGGTAGAGCAGATAGATGCTGCGGTCCACATTCACAAAACTGTACACACCCTATTCTTCACCCAACATCAGTACTGGAGGTGAACCCTAGAGAGACCATAGCAATGTATCACCAATATCAGCTTTAATGTGAATGACATTGAAAATGCTTTTTCTCAGGTATAACGAACACAACAAGACAATGGATGACTCAAGCCCGCGGAACATTTCTCATGATTTCCCAGGAATAAGTGGACCCATAAGTGCAGCCATTTACAAGGATGGTGCGTATTAGATTGACTTCTATAATGTATCTGTATTTTCTGCTGTCATATAACTTTTATCCATCACTGTACTTTTTCAGGTTGTCTTCATTTCTTTGTTGGCTCAGATGTGTATAAATATGACGTCAAACATAAGGAAATTATTGGAGCAGATAAAACACCTTCCTGGCTTGGATGTTAATGGATATTTATTATACACCTATATAGTTCCTAAATCTTATTTTTGCGATTCTTTGTTTAGTGCCACTGAAGTGGTTTAGAAATGACACACTTCACCTGTAAAGATGGTATTAATTATGTTGTATTGAATTGCATTGAATTTCATGTGATAAATGCATCTACTGTTTGTCTTTGGAATATTTTTAATATGCAAATATATCAAAAGAGTTACAATGTGATATAAATTAAAATTTTCATCTGACAACAAAATGATAATCAAAAGTGAATGACTGTATCATTACTTCTAAAAATAACTTGAAAATAACTTGCTTGCAACTTGCATGTCTGACCAAAGTATTTAGCCTGAATATGCACTAATCGGCTTGTATTTATGATTGCAAAAGTGAAAAGTACTTCTACTTGCTTTTCATGCTAAATTAACTTTTAAGAATATCCAAAATGAACAGTATATAAAATCATTACTACAAGTCATGTCACAATCATAATCCTCTTCACTCCTCCATAAACCCACTAATACTTCTGATGAAAAGCTAGACGTGACCTCATTTTGTGGATGACAAAAGCCATCCACAAAAGCCACTAAATACCTGACAGTAAATTCTTGTCGAGGGCCCGGGTCCCACGTGATCGATTACTACCTTAAGGTATGCTTGAGTTGTATAAGACACAGACATAAAAGCGAGAACATGAGTGTGCCATGTTCAAAATGAGCTGGTTGTGCATATCCAACATCTTTTACTTCACTGATCATCTTTGATTTGTATTAGAAAAATTGCATTAGTGTCATATAACTAATGTTTCAAAGATAGCTACATTTGGTGTACATGGTGCAACATCATGTAAAAAAAATCCTTTAGTGAATGTCAATGTCACTTTTATTTCTATAGCACTATTAAAACAACACATGTTGACCAATGTGCTTTACATCATCTCAGTAAGATTTTTGATGAATAAAAAAAGGATCATTAAAACGATGAATAGGCCATGGCAAATGAATGTCTTGAGTTGTACTTTAAATACATCTACATGAATACTTCATAATAATATCAGTGATTATAATTATTCATGATTATTTAATAATTAAAAATACATGCTAATTATAATTTCTAATTAATTTAACAAATTCATGTAATACTTTAGCCTGGCTAACGTCAGACCACGTCTCATTGACATTGCAGCGTGAATGATATCAGGCAGTATGGCAGTATGTAAACCCAGGCTAGTAATACTTATATTAGTATTAGTATGTTTTTAACTGGACAGTAAAAGTAATAAAATAATTAATAAACAATTATTTGTAAGCCTAATTTAATATATTTATTTGTTGATAATAATTAGCCTATCTATGTTCATTTGAAATGCTAATTTTGAAAGTCTAGAGACTAAAGCTGATTTTCTGACTGGAACAACTCCCACACGAACATCAGCTGAAGATGCGCAGTCGCAGTAAAAGGCATGCAGAACTCATGAAGGTGAAGATCAGAGTAATGCAGCATTTCTTTGACCTGAAGGAAAGTGGTCTTCTGGATCAGAAAACTGTGCACGTGGTGAAAGAGGCCAGATGTGGAGTACCCGATGTGGAGAACTTCAGCGTTTATCATGGACGGTCCAAATGGAAGAGCAACACCATCACTTACAGGTCCGGCATAGTTACCTCTTACTTATACATTTAGAGCGTTATTATCACTGATCTATATAATGACTAGCCTATATAGATCAGTGGTTATCATCCAAATTTGTATATTCCTTCGAAAATTTTGTCTTGTTTTTTAATAGGTTCTAGTGTTATTGTGACAACTAGTGACTAAAGCCTAAGGATTTTGTTTGTTTGTTATTCCTCTCATGGAGTCTCTCGGGTTGCAGCATGTCTTTTGTAAAATGTATATGGGCTGAAATATGTGCCACCAGAAACTGAATATGAACCATTTATATTTGAATTTGAATGGCTAAACTTGAATAATTGCATTGAAAAACTGAAATTAAATCACTTAATTTGAAATTGTATTGTTTAATTAAAATTGAATTTATTCAAAAACTGAATCTGAATTGTATGATTTGAAATTGAATTTATTTATTTGGAACTGAAGTCCAATAAAATTTCATCCTCACTGAAAATTATCTTCACATTCAGTTCTCAAATTCAATTTCAAGTTACTGAGACAGACATGCGGGTAGTTGGAGAATGAAGGAAGAGCAATGCTCGATTGCAGATCGATATATAGCATTCATTGGCGCACAGGACTCCTCTTGGGCCAATCAGCACCAATGTTTTGGACTACTGTCTATGGTTTTGGAGCACAGTATGTTACCCGCCATGAAACAAAGAAGAAGTGCTTGCCTGACTTGTCGACTGGCATGGCCAGTGACCACCACCATGGATTCGGCTGGGACAAATACGGTAATTTTTTTACGATCTAACGATCTTTTGTTTAACTAATGTTAATGTTATAGCTATTTTGTAGAAACGTTTCGTTTAGTCCGCGATCATACGCAAATCATGTTTACAATTACATTAGACAACTAGCTAGCACAATTGTTCTAAATCTATCCAGAGAAGAAGATCTCAATATCTCAGCTCTGGAAGGGTCTAGAGCCTCCATTTTTGCACACCGGTCTAAGTCCCATGGCCCTCTATCAGAATCCAGAGTTTCAAGAAGATCAGAGAAACTCAAAATTTCAACCCCCCAAAAAAACGACAGTGGCACCCCTGTCGTTTTTTTTGTTTTGTTTTTTTGCGTGAAAAAATAAGTTTCTCCAATCTTCTTGAAACTCTGTCGTTTTTTGGGGGGGGGTTGAAATTTTGAGTTTCTCTGATCTTCTTGAAACTCTGGATTCTGATAGAGGGCCATGGGACTTAGACCTTAGTGCAAAAATGGAGGCTCTAGACCCTTCCAGAGCTGACATATTGAGATCCCACGTAGCATTTATGCCATTATAAATATCTCAATATCTCAGCTCTGAAAGAGTCTAGAGCCTCCTCCAAACTGATCCTGAGTTTAGGTGTAACATCAGTAGAGAACAGCCAAACACATGCTGATAGAGTTTATAGAACATTAAGAATTTAAACAAATGTACACAGGAAGATTAGTCGTCTTTTGGGAGGTGATGGAAACTACAGTCGTTGGCAGGATCACTCTGATTTCGTTTTCAGCTTATGTTCAAAACAATCCCGTTTAAGCCACTAAATTAGTTTAGTCCGGCTATACATACAACCGCGAACAGCACATGTTGTCCCTGAGCTCCGTAACGACATCTCTCATAAAGATTTGCGTCTTTAAATAGTAACATAATTCTCCGAAAAACAGCTAGCCTCTTCGCTAACTAACACACAAAATACCATTGGAATGCTACTTCCGCCGCGTCACCGGAAGTTTCACCCTCTTTATTTTTTACAGGAGCGCCCCTCGGAAACTTGTGGATATGGAAAATAAAGTTACCTTGTCTACCACCTAAAATAATCAAGGTAAGACAATTTAAAAATATGAATAATGATGCATTTATTCAAGATCTGTTATGTATTAATTGGAACAGGATGGATTTAATTCCTTATGTTGATGATGCCTGGAATTTCTTTCATACTGAGGTATTAAAAGTCATAGATAAACATGCTCCATGGGCTTAAGTTAAAGTGAAGGATAGACAGCTACCATGGATTGCTGGTGACTTAATACATCTCTTTAAGCAAAGGGACAAGGCCTTGGAAAGATATCATGTAACAAAAGATCTGGCAGATTGGATTGAATTTAAGCGATTAAGAAAGGTATGTACTGTTAACAAGAAATGCCACATCTGACTATTATAAAAATTCATTATCAAATGATTTTACAAATCCTAAACATTTTTTGAAAAAACTTAATTGCTTGTTGAATAAATCTAATAAGAATTCCCTTGCAAAACTAAGAATAAAAATAATAATATTATAACTGATCCAATTTCTGTAGCTGACGCCTTTAATCAGCACTTCTCTTCTGTTTGTAACTTACGTCCACCTGAATTCTGTTACTCCAACCCTGTAAATAGTAATGTAGTGAACAGTTCTTTTTCATTTACTACAATTCTTCCCACTGAGGTACAGCAGGCAATCTTTGAAATTAAATCTGGAAGTGGTGTTGGTATAAATGGTCTGGAGATAAAGTTTATTAAAATTGCCTCTCATGTTCTAGCATATCCATTATGTGATCTATTTAATTGATCTATCTTCTTGCAAAGTTCCAGTTATGTGGAAGTGTGCTAGAGTAACACCTTTATACAAAAGTGTTGATCCTCTTGATCCTAACAATTATAGACCAATCTCAATTATTAGTAATGTAGTAAAAGTATTTGAAAAAATTATATTCAAGAGACTGTTTAAATACATTAATGAGTTTTCTATCTTTTCTCCAAACCAATCAGGTTTTAGGCCCAATTACTCCACCACTACTGCTCTTACAAAATTTGTTAACGATGTTACATCTTCTTTGGACAATAATATGTCCACTGGAGCAATATTTATAGATCTTACCAAAGCGTTTGATCTGGTTGATCATTATATTCTCCTTGATAAACTGTATAACATTGGTCTCTCTGAACAGTCCATTCTATAGTTTAATTTATATCTTCATTACAGACGTCAGTGTGTAAATCTTAATGGTGCTCTCTCTCAGTTTATGATAATGGATAAGGGTGTTCCTCAAGGTTCTTGTTTAGGCCCTCTTTTATTTTCTATTTTCATTAATGACCTCCCACAAATGTGCTCTGATAGTCAAATTCTCTTGTATGCTGATGATACAGTTATTTATTCTTCAAAACGTGATATTATTTCAATCCAATCATCAGCTGCAACTTGATTTTAATACTGTTCAAAAGTGGTTTTCGAATAATGGACTTATATTGAATAAAAGTAAGTCTTATAGTATGTTATTCTCAACTAGATCTGCCCGACATAACCATGGTTATAACTTAACAATTAAATTCTCAGATGGTACATTTATGGAGAATGTTGAGGAATTGAAATATTTGGGCCTTTGGCTTGACTCCAGCCTCTCCTTTAGGCCTCATATTGACTCTATAGTGAAAAGAGTAAATTATAATTTAAGACTATTATATCGTTCAATTAATTGTTTTACACAATCGATAAGATTAAGAATTGTAACTCAGCTTTTATTTCCTATTATTGATTATGCTGAATTTGTCTATATGAGTACAGCAGAATCACACCTTAAACCCTTAAATATTGTTTATAACAGTCTCTGTCGATTAGTGTTGAGATGTCCGTTTCTAACCCATCATTGTCATATGTACCAACAATTAAATCTTTTATCACCAAAGGCTAGACGTCAGCTACACTGGTTTCAATTTGTTTATAAATGTATATTTTTTTAATTATCCTTTTTATTTGAAGCAACATTTAGTTCTATATAGGTCAACTTATGGTCTGAGACACCTTGATCATCTCTTTTTTTCTGTCCCAAATATATCTAAAGAAATTGGAAGACGTGCTCTTAAATTCAAAGCCCCCTCTGATTGGAACAGCTTACCTTGTTCCTTAAGGTCCATCTCTTCCTTTCCACTCTTTAAGTCAGCCCTTTTAATTTATTTGCAATCTTGTGACCAATGTATATGTTTTCTTAGTATATGAGCTGTGTTTTAATTTGCTTTATTTTTTTTTATTTTTTTTTTGTTTTTTGTTTTTTCCTTCACTAATGCACTTTTTTTTCTCTTTAATGCCTTTAGTAAGAAATATATGTGCATGAGAGCATGTGTGCGGGGATGTGTACATGTGTAGGTAGGTATGTGGTATGTATGTAGCCAATGCATGCATGCATGCATGTTTGTGTGCATATGTATATAGGTATGTATTTTTGTAT